AAAAAAAAAACTTGTTTGTAAATAAAAATTTTATTATAAAGAGTGTTATGGAAAATACAATGGAAAATCATTGTTGTATAAATGTATTAAACATTTTTACCTTAGCTATGGACTGATATAATTAGCATACCTCATTTAAACCGTCTCCATTAAAATCAACTAAAGCCATTGAACAAACATTGTCACCTGTGACCTAACAAAATAAATTTTTAAAATCACCTACTATTAACAAATATAGTCATTATTAAGTCTATTTGCAATAACAGGTATTTGAAAAAAGCACACATATTTTAATAGTGTTTTCTTGACTGTAAACATAGAAACTGCTTTTTTTTTTTAAAGTAATGAAACTTGGTAAATCAATTGAAAAAATTAACTAGCATTCAACATCAATTAGATTTAATGTGGTTATTAGGAAATTATTTTTTTTATAGACACTTGTATAAACACTCATGTAATAATTTGTTTTGAGAGACACAAAATCAATTATTATCACCACAAATAAAAGTCAAGAAAACATATTATGACTAAAAACTAAACCTGAAGTTGATGTTTGTACTTTATCTAAAAAACTAAGTAAATTTTAACTATCTCTATTTACCTCTATTGTCATTTGATATATTTACATTTAATAATGCACAAAACAATGTTACAAAGACTCATTTTTAAATTAAAAAATATTTATAGTAAATTAATTTATATTTTTAAGTTCATAATAAAGTTTGCTTTTTATTGGTTCTCAGTTTGCAAAGGTATTTAGGATTTTGATTAAAACTTCATAGTTAACTACTAATATTATTTAAAATAAAAGTTTTGAATTCTGTATATTCTGTAAAATTTAACATTTTTATAAAAATAAATGATACCGTCCAAAATTCATCATTCCCTTCTTTATTAAACCCTTGTATTGAACAATTACCACCAGCAAGAACAAGTCTAGTGTTGTTAGTGCCAAGATTTCCGATCAACAAGGAGTTTACCCCATCAGGCATCTACAAAAAGTAGCAATTTAATATCAAAAAATATGTTCAGAAATTTGTTCATACAAACACTTTAATTTTTCAAGTCTTTCAAAAATTTTTTTTTATTGAAATCATTTAAATATGCAAATATAGAATAAAATTGCTTATTTTGTAAACAATTATATTCTATTATTTTGAAAATAAATAATACTGCCCGTAAAATAGTAATACATTACTATTTTAGTTGTAAAAAATAGTCTATACAGATTATTCTTTACAACTATTTTCTTGTTTGCTTATAAACTGTTGTAACATTTTAAATTACCTCCTTGTAGAAAAGATCTGAGTTATTTTCAACATCATAAGCAAGTAAGTTTGTTGGTGTTCCAACAAACAATCTATCTCTAGAAGATTCATCTAAAGAACCACAAGCGACAGAGCTCACTTGCTGGTTGATACTTAATAGAGAAATATCAGCAGAAAGCTGTCCTGTTTCTAGACGGCCACTGTAATTTCCAATTCGAGTATGTGGGTTATGGATGAAAACCTATTGAAATATGATTACTATTTCTAAATTTTATAACATTTAATTCTCTAGGTAATAAATAAAAAATAATAGCGTATAAAAATAATAATAAAAGAAAACAAACTTTATTTGCAGTTGTAGCAGCACTGAGACAAGGATGTTTGCCATCATATTTCCCTATTGCAACCATTCGTGGAATGATTTTATGTTGTAGTTTCATTGAGAATACTGGTGCTAACAACATTTTACTATTAATTCAGACTAAATTTAAAAAATTAAGAAAAAAAATAATAAACTATAAAACACTACCTTGATTTTTTTCAAAAAAAAAACCACCCAAACATTAGGAGAAATAAATAAACCTATGTTATAAATTTATGTAAATTTAACTTGATGCATTCTAAAGAAAACTTAAGCTGCATATATTTTAATATAATTTTGTATTATTTATAAATTTATATACTTCCAAGATTGAGTACCCCATATTAAGCATTAAAACCACTAAATTAATTATAAGTTATCCAGGTCATATTAAAAAAATCTGAAAAATTTTCTTAAAAATATCCAGAAAAAAATCTGGAAAAATAAATGTATTTTGTGTAACTTAAAATAAGAATAATCTCATGTGCTTGAAAAGAAACTCATTATTTGTATGCACCTACATATAATAAATTTCTTAACATAATATAAAACAAATATAATATAAACAAAAATAATATAATAAAATATAATAATAAAAAAAATATATAAAACAAATAACATTAATATAAAAATAATTAAATATTTTAATTTTTCAAACTAGTAAAATAATGGCATGGTGTTGTGGTTGTTACAATGACAAAGTTATTAGGCAGGGGTGACAAGGTTACCAGTCAAATTTTCCATAGACAAATTTTATATAAAAAGAAAATTTCAATACTTATTTAAATAGGATTTATAAATAAATTTAATTTATATAAAAAAAAAAAAAAATTATTAAACTAAATTACACTAGATTTTTAGGTAAATTAGTCAAAATAATTAGTAATAAATACATGTGTACAAATAAGAAAAAATTGGTTGTACACACATACAAATAATGCCTGAACTAATTAAACATAGTTAGGTAATTTGTAATTTGTAAGTGTAAAGTAATTGGTGAATGATACCTTTGTTGTTTTAATTATTTAATGACAAAGTTACAAAAAAAAAACTTTATTTCTAGAAAACTATTTTGATATCTGGAATAAATAAACTTTTAAAGGAATATTCGGGATTCCAAAAATTTCCAGAAAAAGACAATCCCTGTAAATAGCTTGTACAAAAAATTGTTTGAATAAGATTTTATTTCAGTTATAATTTTCTTATTTACAGACATTTACATAAAAATAAAAGCAAAAAAGCAAACTCAATAAAGAAATTTACTTGACACAAAGTCGATGATCCTTTAATTATATATAAAATATACAAGGATATTAGCTATGCAGTAAATTAAATACCATTTAAAAATATGCAATACTCTTTTCATTATATACTTGTATGTAACTACATTATATTAAAATAAAAAATATAAACTGAAAAAAATGTCAAAACCTAAAAGATATATTAAATTAAAAAAACTAAATTTCTTTATGACACAAGAATATTGAAAAAAAAATATTTATGAAATCTGAAACTTATCGTACATTATTTACAAATGAAATAAATACAAAACTTTTTTTAATATATGATGGTTACATACAAAAAATTTCAAAATAACTTAATTGCTACCATCAATAGGATAATAAATTGCTCATACAATTTAATGGCTCATACAAAAAATAATTATATTGGAATGTATTTCGAATCTGAGGTGTTGGATTAACATTCCTGACAGAAATTTTGATGACTCCATTTGTTTTGATTATTCCACATTCTTATTAATATTTTGATCATCTAAATTATCATTATCATTTGAGAGTGAAGCAAGAACCGATTGGCGAATATTTTCCAATCGAGATGAAGTGAGGACAGAGCAGTAAGCTCTGAAGCGCTTTGCCTTAAATTTAATTAAAAAATTTAAATCTGAAATTTATTAAATATAACAAATAAAAATTATACTTCATCAAATTTTTCTACATACTTCAAATTCCAAGTAATCTAATTTGTTTTCCCAATCCTGTAATAAAATCATAAACTCTAAATAAGTGCTGAGACATCATAAAACTAATTTGTCATGCATATATAATATTTACCAAATAATGTTTGTCGTGAATATCTGGCTTATCTTTTGTATGAAATGAGAGTTCTTCTTCTAGGCTTTTAATCTGACTATTGTGGTGTTGCAGTTGCTGTTCCTAGATTTAACCAAACATAACTTTTTTAGATGGATCCATAATCAAATCAAAATTATATAAGAGTAAAAAATTTAATTTATAAATAATTTTAATGTATTTTATGTATTTAATAATACAAAAAACAAGTTTTTAATTTTAATTTGTAAGTATACTTTTGTCAATTTAGCTTTAGAAACAGGCATCACAGGTCTTTGGAAACGCATGCTAAATTAAAATAAAAAGTCAATGCATATATATACTTCAAAAACTATATATATATATATATATATATATATATATATATATATATATATATATATATATATATATATATATATATATATATATATATATATATATAAAATTGATGCCTGCTAATTTTTTTTAAACCTTTCTGTTGTTTAAGTTAGTAAAGTTGCAAAAAAACCTGTAAATAAAAAATTTTGGTTGATCAAAGTTATTTAAACTAATTTCTGAGCAAAAAAAAAATTTTTCCCAAGTTCTTAATAATAAATTCATGGTGAAAAGACACGAAATTCAGGAATCAATAGAAAAACTAATCCTTGGAAATGGATGGAAAAGAATATAAAATTATTTTTAAAATAGTAAATGTTAAGCTAAATAGTGTATGAAACATGATTTAAAAAATGGTTACTATCAAAAATTTGCCAAGAAAAGGACATTCTGCTAAAACTAACATGCATTGATAGAGAAACTAATTGGAAAGTTGAATAAGATAGATGACTATCTGCACCAAAGTTAGCTAAAATGTTACAAATAATATAAAAAATCAAAGTTTTTTAGGTAGAGTTGCACTAATAAAAACCGTAGAAAGAATCATAGAAAAGAGTAAAAAGAATCAAAAGATTGGCTTGGACTAAAAAACATTGGCAATGGGCTCTTCATCAATGGCAACAAGTTTTATGGTCAGATGAAACCAAAATATGTTTGTTTAGTTCTGTTGACATCATACAGAAATGGAAAAAAAAAGGTGAACACCTAAATCCTAAATGTATGAGATCAACTGTCAAACATGGAGGAGGTACCAATAAAAATATGGAGGAGGTAATAATAAATTTTATTAAAATTTTGCAATATTCTATATACTTTTAACTTATTTTTTTCCTTTTTATTATAGGACAAATTATAGCTTAGTGTTCCTTTGCTTGAAGTAGTGTTGGTGAACCTGAATTCATAGACAGAATAATGAAAAAACAAATTTGTACTGATATAATGAAATGAAAACTGTGATTAAGCGCTAGAAGTGCTTATCTCGCAATTTTATCTTTTAACAGATTCAAAATCTATCTTTTAACAGATCCATGACCTGAGTGCTTATTTATTTCAACTCCATTTTAAAATGTTAAAAGAACTTTTCCGTGTTAATATCTAAAAATAAAAATAAAACTTTTGGTTTTTTGACTTTTTTTTGATTTTTTGACTTTTTTAAACTTTTTTTCTTATAAATAATTAGTAAATTTAATATCAAATAATATTTTCAATAGTCATTATTAAAGTTTAAAATTTATTGCATAAATAGTTGTTAACTTTATAAGATCACTTATTATTTTCTCCCAACATTTTAAAATGGAGATGGAATAAATAAGCACTCAGGTCATGAAAACAAAAAAATCCAAAACACACATCAAAGTTAGCTACTCAGTGGTTCAAAAAAAAAGTCAAGATGTTAGAATGGGCTACACATTTACCAGATTTTAATCAAATTGATGGAATTTATGAAATCTTTTTCAAATTAAAGTAGCTCAACAAAAACGAATCTGTCTCAATTAAAGACAATTCTAATCACGAAGTGGAAAAAATTTGATTTGCAATGGTTAAAAAAATTAAAAGATTTAATTTCTAAAAGATATCTTATAGTCATTAAGGCAAAAGACAGACAAATAAACTATTAACTTTATATTAAAAAAATAATTATTAAAGGGGTTTTGTTATGAAAAATAAACTTGACAGGTTATTTTAGAAAAAGTTAATTTTATATAAAAAAAACTGTAGGATTATTCTGAAAGAAAATTTAATCAAGATATCAAAAAGCAAAAAAAAAAAAAAAATAATAATAATAATAATAACAATAAACATAACAATTTTCTAAGAATTTGGAGACAGCAGAATATATTAGTATCATGCCAACTTTTTAAAATTAAAATTTTCTTCAACAAAAATGGAATATTTATCATAACTAGCATTTTTTTAAAAAAATATACTTCAATATAAAATTAAAAAACAAAAAACATGAAATATACCTAGAACTAACAGGCGCTGGTAAGGGAGGAGATGATAGCATAGCTGCTGCAACATTAATGCAATCCATCCATTGGCGAACATCATCTTGGTTTCTAAAAATTTAAACCTTTAGTGTAAGTTATACAATATTTAAACTTAAATTTAAAAAAAATGGTCGATTCACAGTTATTGGTTTGAAAAAGAAGGAACAAAAAGTAATCTCTAAAGCAGCATCCTTTATATTTACACCATGAAGATGTGAATATATTAGACTAAAACATAGATTAAGAGAGATTAACCTACCTTAAAGATGTGAATATATTAGACTAAAACATAGATTAAGAGAGATTAATCTACCTTAAAGATGTGAATATATTAGACTAAAACATAGATTAAGAGAGATTAACCTTAAAGATGTAAATGTATTAGACTAAAACATAGATTAAAAGAGATTAACCTTAAAGATGTGAATATATTAGACTAAAACATAGATTAAGAGAGATTAACCTTAAAGATGTGAATATATTAGACTAAAACATATATTAAGAGAGATTAACCTTAAAGATGTGAATATATTAAACTAAAACATAGATTAAGAGAGATTAACCTTAAAGATGTGAATATATTAGACTAAAACATATATTAAGAGAGATTAACCTCAAAGATGTAAATATATTAAACTAAAACATATATTAAGAAAAATTAACCTTAAAGATGTGAATATATTAAACTAAAACATAGATTAAGAGAGATTAACCTTAAAGATGTGAATATATTAGACTAAAACATAGATTAAGAGAGCAGCAAAGGTTGGAACTATTTGTTCAGACAATCTATTTCACAAAATACTTAAAACTAAACATAACAGAAATAGAAAAAACTAAATATGATAAAAAAAACAATGAAATGTAACAGGCATTGTTTTAGATAAAATATGCTTAACATATTAGCCTAATGTGAATTTGAAGTTATAAAATTCTCTTTATTTTTTTATTTTTTAAAGACGTTATGAGTTAAATATTATTTAACTCATTTTTTATTATTACTATTTGGAAATGCTCAGTTTCTTTCATTTTTAAAATATTAAATAACTGTTTTTAATATTACATTTAAAAAAATGTTTGATATAAACAAAATATGTTAAACTTTTTTAAATGATTATTTCTTAAACAACTGTTTTTAAAAAATTTGCGACTAAAAGTGATTTTTTATTAAAAAAAAAATTAGAGAGTAACAAATAAAAAAATTAGGTTAATTTATCTACTTTATTTATTAAAAGTTTATTATTTTATAAGCGATTTTGTTGCAAAAGCAAAGATTATTTTTCCAAACACCATTTATTAAAATTATATAATTATATATACCATTTATTAAAAAATAATTGCTGCGCTCTAACTTGCATTACAAAAAAAACTTAGACTTACATTAGTGCAAATTTTTGATGCAGCCTCGGAACCGTTTATTTATATTTTAATTTTGAGTAAAAAAAAAAAAATGCTTAAGAATAAGCTAATTTTTTTTAAGAATAAATGAAATCTAAATATTGAACATTATTTAGTAGTACTTTAAAGTAAATTTGACATTTAAGTTAAACACAAGCATTAACTTTATTTTAATAAACTTTAATATATTTCTTTTAATCAGAATTAATATATATACTTTTTAAATCAACATTAAATTATATATTTTTTTTATCAGAATAAAATTATATTTCTTCAAGCTTTAAGTAATAGCGTTATTTTTTATTAATAAATAGAAATTTAAGAAAATTTTTTTATTGGATTCAAAATTTGTATAAATATTCTTGTACTCGCAAGATCATAAATAAAAGTTTTTATTATATATATTTCTTTTATGTTTTTTTTTTTTTTTTAAATGTTCCATTAAATCATTTTGTATAAAAAAAATTGTTGCTAACTATAAACAATTTTGTTTTGTGTTACTAAATATTGAAATGTTCGAAAGAGTAATAAAAAGAAAGAATCAAAACCAAAACTACAAATTTTTCTACGCCAAAAATAACAAAAGATTGTTATTATTTTTTTATTTTATTTTGCAGGTTTTGCCTTTTTGTTTTGTATTTTTTTTAACTTTTAATTTTCACTTGCATAAAGTTTGTTATTATTTGTGCTGTTGCTGCTTATTTTTATTGTTGCTCGCTGTTGTCATTGAGTATTTTCATATTTTTTTGTTTTATTATTTAATTTACTATAGCTTAATTGCTATTTTTTTAAAATTAATTTAATTTTGGCTTGCTTTTATATATTAATATTGCTGTTGTTCTGTTTGTTTATCTTATTTAGGTGTCATTCCAATGACTAGTTTTTAACTATATGAGTGACACCTAACCTAATTTTATAAAATTATAAAAAAATTGTAACTATTCAATTCATGGTTAAATAAATGGATTAAAAATTAAATATTTTAATAAAATAATTAGTTAAATAGAGATTTGGTTTTTGTAGTTTTTAAATTTATTTTTAGTTTTTTAGTAAATAGCACTTATATCTAACGTAATTGTCATTCAAACTTTTGTAACAAACTTCTTGAAATAATCATCATTCAAAAGTTAATGTGGTTTTTTATAAAATCAATTACTTCTTTTATTTTACCGCTTATTGAACAATTTAAAGTTAAAAAATGATGAAAAGTTGCTTAATGGAAAGTGCTCTAGGTGTACGTAATGTGTACGTAAATTGATGGCAGCTTAACGCTTTAAAACAAGGCCTGTAACATTATCCTTAAATAAAAGTTCAGTTTGCTATTTAATTAAACAACCTAATAATAATGTTGTGATATAGTTTTTTCCATAAATTAAACTAGAGAACACTATTAGTCAATTAATTCAACTTGTGAATTAGATTTTTATTTTTACATCTTTTTTTATCTACTAAAATCTTTTCACTAACTAAAAAACAGTTACTGTTAAAAATAAGAAAAACTTATTTTATAGAGTATTAAATAAATGAATTAGCCAATAAGATGCCAATATGTTTGCCAGTTAGAGAGACTATGTTTGCAATATGTTTGCCAGTTAGAGAGACTATGTTTGCAATAGATCAAAAAAAGAAAACTACAACTCTTTAATAAAATATTTTTCAGAATTTTATTCCAAACATATTAAATTGCATATTAATTTATTTTCAGAATAAATATTGTATAAAGTTTAAAGATTTTTGTGAGTAAACTCAAATTTGTTTAAGCTCTGTCAAAAAAAAAACAACTTGATTATAGGCTTAAAAATTGTAAACACTTTAAGTTACCTACTTCGCTTGAATATAATATACACTCCAGTCAGCTGCAATTATTTTAAAAACATAAGCACGTTTCTTGTAATCTTTTGCATAGCCTGCTAAAGCATGATGAATACCAACAGAATGAACATCATTCATACTATCATGCTAAAAGAAGAAGTTCAGCACTTACAAATAACAAATTTCAATTAAAAAAAAAAAAAACAGATTAAAAACTGCTTGAGTCAATAAAAACTTTGGAATAAATATCATTCTATGAAAAATACTTAATATTAATTTTCCATTTTTAAGAATTTTTTCAATTTTATCTTTTGACTTTTGAAAATTTATTACTTCATTATTAAATAATACCTTGTAAAAAAGTAATATGATGCCTTTCAATAAACAATAGAATTGACGCCAGTTTCTCTTCATAGCAGGAGCTATAAAAACATTTTTTTATACTTTATTAATAAAATACACAAGTTTTATACAAAACAATTTTCACCAAATGTATGATGCTATGTTTCAGATTAGTAGTTTACATTTGTATATTCAGTTTTTCTTTTAATTTAATATTTCATTGTTGTTACCAAGCCTGCTTGCCTCAGCCTCTATCCAGTGTGACAAACTTTGAAACATGCTTTTGTTAATTCTAGATTTTTTTATATAACATAACTTGATATATCTGTGATACATACATGTGTTATATAATATCTATCTGAGTCCTTAATTCACAGGCAATGTCCTATCATAAAACAGTGGTGTTTCATATATTCAAGCATCATTCTTTTTTTAAACAAGGTATTGGGTAGGATCTCAATCATAGATTGGGCATCTGACATTCAAAACACCCTAATAACATGTTATGATCTTTATGTTTTACACAAATAATCATATAAAAATACATGTTACTCTACTTGTGAATATAAGAAAAGGAATCATTAGAAAAACCAGCCTAAATATGACAACAGTATTTCAATACAGGAATAAATAAAATATTTGTAGAGGTAGAGAATGGAAGATAGGTATTGGTGAGCATATAAAGAAAGGTAACCTTAGAAGATGCTAATTTTTTATGTATTGTATATATAGATAAAAAGATTTTATTTGATAAACTTTGTAGTAGATTTTATATGGTTTTCATGAGCAGTCACTAGAGAATAATAATCAGAGAAGAAGTAAAGTAAAGAACTCAGTGAAAATTTACCAATAGAAGAATACCATTTATCAATAGAAAAATACCATTTACCAATAGAACATTACCATTTATCAATAGAAGAATACAAAAAATATTGTGATACTTGTTTACAGTGAATAACTAAGTTTTGTTGGAGTTAAAACTCACAAGCCACTGTAAGCACCAAGCTATTTGAATATTCCATATAGTTGCAGTCATGAAATTTTTACTGCAAAAGATGAAAATATAAACAAGGAACCAAAAAAATATTTTTTTTTTTTGGTAAGGTGTACTACAATCTGGAAAACTTATGCAACATTTTGTGCAATAGTTGCTATGACATAGAAATGAAATGAAATAAAACTTGTTTAAGTTATTTTACTTTTTGAAGAAAATTTTCAAAAAATTGAAAATACTTTTTTTTAAATTATTTTTTAGAGCAAGTATATTATAATTATAAGCTTCAAAAATAAGGCATTGAAGGCAAGCAGTCGATTCAAACGACCAACTCAAGATATTGACAGTTAATTGTTTGCTTTTTGATGGTTAAAATTTTTCTTTTTTCTTTGTTTAAACCTTAGAAATGGTTCTTATTGACTAAACTTTATAAATACAAAAATAAGTTAATGCTTGAAGAAAAAAGAATAAAATTATTTTATTAATAACAATTTTAAATAAAACTAATGCTTTTTTTAAAAGCGCTAACAGGCAATTGATAATTTTTAACTTATTTAAAAATAATTCATTTCACTTCAATGACTTCGCAAATGGTGGAAAAAGCTGCGCAAAAAATAATAGAAAAGATTAAATGAAAAAAAAAGTACTGTTGAGATTATGTTCTTATTTACATATAATAATTTCGAATAATAATGAAATAAATCTGTTTTTTTTTTTTTTTTTTTGTTTTTTTTTTGTTATTCACCTCCTCAAGGCCGAGAAGGCCACTACAGACGAGGAGGCTACTTAATTGTGGTTATAACCCTCTCTCAACTCTATAACTCCGAAACACGAACCTTGACGAACAAGGCCGCTGCGCGGAGAAACAAGTTGAGCGCGGTACTACCAGGGACGTGGTCGGGATCGAACTCGGAACCTCTCGCTTATGAAGTGATTGTTTTACCACTACATCACTACCGCATTATTAAGTTAAAGAAGAAAAAACTTTTGCACATTTTATATCTCTTGCTCATTAAAATCATTTAAAAAATCTCTAATGTTAATTAGTTAATAATAATGATACTAACTCTTGTTTGCAGATACTATTTAAACTGAATATATAATTTATATGTTTAATACTTTAAATTGTTTTAAACATTCGTCTTCTTAGTATTAAAAAATTTGTTTAATGAAACACTTTAAAAATAATTGAATTTACATAAAACAAGATTTTTATTAAATATATATATATATATTTTTAATAATCCTGTTATTAAAAAAAAAAGTGCAAGCACTCAATTAGTAATTTTTAATTTATCTTTAAACGATTCATTCATTTATTTGCAATTTTCAGCAAAACTTACAAGAAAATAGATAAAAAGATGTAGAGAAAAATAAAACAAATTGACCAAGTGCAGATGAAAGAAAAACTGTTCATAGTTAAATATATAATTTATTATACATTATTTAATTATTAAAAAAATAATATATAAAATTTTTATATTAAAATAGTAATAAAATAAGAACTTCAATTATTTAAGAAAAAACGATTTTCACCATCGGTAAAATAAAATTAATTTAAATAAGTGAAGCAAAAAATATAATGATTATAGTATTTATCATTACATATAGGTTATGTATGTTACTTGCAATACATTTGTCAACAAAGCCAATTAATGAGTTCAGGGTTGTTAAAGCAGAACATTTACTGGCTTCTATTAACATGTATTAATTTTCAGATAAAAGTTTTAACAACAATAAATTTAATATATACTTAAATAAATTATAAGTAGCAGAATTAATAATATAAAATTATCAATAAATTATTAATTTTTAATTATTGAATTATATTGATATAAATTATTAATAAGTTTTTAATTTTTAATTAATGAATTATATTATATTGATAAAAAATAAATTTATTGGAACATTTTTAAAACAAAGAAAAAATTCGCTTTAATTTCTTTTTGCTTTTAAACTTTTTGCTTTAATGACCCGCTAACAATTAAAATAGGGTATCATAAAAAAGGAAACTATTTTAAACACTTTTTCAAAATACAAATAATTTTATAAAATTTTAGTCATTTCAGGCGGTCATCTACTGTTGACCGGTCGTTGTTTTCTGCACCGATAATTATATTATAATTATATTTCTTTTTTTGTTCATGTTTTACATAAAAAGTCAGCTAGCAAAAAGTTGTGGTCATGACATTGCAGTTGTGAAAAAATATTGCAGTATTGAATAACATTACATTTAAGGTATTTTTAAGGTATATTTTAGCAATGTCAAAGTTTTTAAAAACATACAAACACTTTACACAAAGTTTTAATTTTTATTTAGGAAAATAAAAAACGCAAAAACAAGTATTTAATGAAAATTTGTAACAAATCACTTTATTGCAATAATAAAGACATATATAAATAAAATTAGGAGGTCAATATATTAAATAACAATTTTTTGTTTGCTGTGTTAGTGATAGTGAATATTTTATACTGATAGTAGTAATATTCTTTTAATGCTAAAAATTTTATTCTTAATTTCCTAGAATAAAGTTTTCTCCAGATTAAAGTTGTCTTCAACCTTTTCTGTTAATAATAAAATATCATATAGCTGACTATAATGTTTTATGTCTTCAACCTTTTCTGTTAATAATAAAATATCATATAGTTGACTATAATGTTGTATGTCTTCAACCTTTTCTGTTAATAATAAAATAATTAATTAGAATTAGTTATACCAGTCATATTACTTCACTATTTTTACACAATAACAAACTAACTACATATAACTATATACATTTTATAACACATCCTTGATAGTTTCAGTGTCTGTGTGGAGAATTGTGGCAACTATCTTAACACAATACCTTAGGGTAAGTCCTAATGATACAACACAAAGGGATACTTTTTGTAAAAGCTACCCAAGTGCATAATCAAAGTACTCTTGTGAAATGCCAGAATATTGGTTTTGAACCCTCTTCCAGTTATGTTGCACTATACAATATCTATTTGCAATATGTAATTATCTATAATAAGGGTCTGCATATCATAAAAATACAGACATTTTATTTTATCAAAACTGAACAGTTTTGATAAAATAAAATGTTTGTATTTAATTGGTAAAAAAATTATTGTTCAAAACTGGTTCAGTACAGTTTCGATTCGCTTTAGAGAAAATTTACTCTTAATTGGCACAGAAAATCATTACAGCGATCTTAAGGCAAAATAGCTCACTTTTTGAATTATGGATTTCCCTGTACAACTTTTAATATTTTATCATAATTTTCATCATTTTAGTTAAATAATTTTTTAATTTTTAGATAATGTGTTTTGTTTAGTTTAAAACAATATTTTACCATAAAATGCAATAAAAAAAGCACTTTAAACAAAAAGTAACTAAACAGTATAGCCGTTTAACAGCAAAGTAAAAATACTATAATTAGTAATGACCATCACAGTAATACCTTTATTATTTATTTTCAGTTTTACATAAATGCTTGATTACTTTTGCATTTAGATTTTTGTTACATATTAGCACTCTTCAGTTTACATATGTTAATATATTTTATGGAGTAGCAGGAATTACCTTTTACTATGTTTATATGGTTGTTACTGTTATATTACTGTTATATATATATATGGTTGTTACTGTTATATTACTGTTATGTATATATGGTTGTTACTGGTATATTACTGTTATGCATATATGGTTGTTATTGGTATATTATTGTTATTAATATATGGTTGTTACTGTTATATTATTATTATGTATATATGGTTGTTACTGTTATATTATTGTTATGTATATATGGTTGTTACTGGGATATTATTGTTATGTATATATGGTTGTTACTGTTATATTATTGTTATGTATATATGGTTGTTACTGGTATATTATTGTTAAACTAGTATTTTGAGACAACTACTTGGAATGTTGTAGATACTTGTTCTACATTTTTTACTAGCATACATTTATAGTGATAACAGCCATTACTATATTAAGCCATATTAATGAGTCATACTACCGTATTAACAACCATTGTAATAGGTACAGTACTTATGTTGTGACTTATCATACTACTTACTATTACACAAAATCAACCAAAAGTTACCAATTAAATGCTACCAGCACTAAAAGTAACCAATTAAATGCTACCAGCACTAAAAGTAACCAATTAAATGCTACCAGCACTAAAAGTAACCAATTAAATGCTACCAGCACTAAAAGTATCCAATTAAATGCTACCAGTACTAAAATATTTCAGTCTGGACATTAATAAAATATTAACAACAATATTACACAAAATATTCAAGCCTGGATATTAACAAAATATTAACAATAATATTACAAAAAAATATTTAAGCCTGGATATTAACAAAATATTAACAACAATACAAAACAAAATACTAGAGATGAAACTATAACAAGAAAAAAAAACTCACTTCGTCTTCCACCAGGATCCATCACAGATTTACGATTTAATAAACCTTCACAAATAACTTTATCTTTAGAATCAATTTTTAACTAAAAAAATAAAAGAAAAAATTGCTATTGTACATAATATTTTCTGCAAAAATTACCCAATCAATTATAACCAATTATTGGTTATTCACCCAATTAATTATAACCAATCAATTATAACCAATCAATTATAACCAATTACTGGTTATTTACCCAATCAATTATAACCAATTATTGGTTATTTAAATGCATTCTTGGTTATGCAATTATTAAAGCTTTTTGAAAATACTAAATTTTTTATAGCTGAACCTTAAAAATATGATTGTAATTCAAAATGTATTAACCGCAAAAGTAATTTAATTTAAAATAACTTATAATTATATAATAAATTATAAATGGCACTTTTTACAGAAATCCTAAAACATATTATTTAATGTAATATATATAATATAAAGAATTGATATTTTTTAGCCAAGTTTCCAACAATTTCAAATTACTATATTATAACTTTCACATTACAAAAACTAGTTGGTATATGTACTTATAGCAAGAACAACTTTATGGATGCATACACATGCAGAAAAAACAAACAGTCAGGTATATATTCTTTTAGTAGGAATAAGTAGGAATTATATTTATATCAATATAATTCAATAATTAAAAATTAATAATTTATTGATAATTATATATTATATACATGTAGTAAAAACAAGCAGTTAAATTTTTCACTAAACTTTAGATATCTTACAACATTGATTAATTTATAGTTTACTATAACTTAACATTTTAACAAATCTGGATTAAGTAAATATATATATATATATATATATATATATATATATATATATATATATATATATATATATATGAAAGGCAGAAATACCTCAATGTAAGGGTTTCCAGATGAAGAATTCTAAAAATAAAAGTTTGTTAAAACCATACACTAGTCAAAAAAGTTATAAAGTTAATATAATAAAAATAAAAAAAAAAAATTAAAAACATTTTTTAACTTAATTTGTCAAATCTGACATTTCCTTGTTCCAAATTCCTATAGGATCCTACAGGTTTACAAGGTCTATAACATATATTGAGCATATAACTTCATTCAATATTTTCTAATATCATATAACATCATTAAACATTCATATTGTATTTTATAACAGCTTCACTGCTGTAATGTAAACTGAAAACTGCCACCCCACCCCCTATAAGAGGGGGGGGGGGGTTGTGACTGGGTTTAAGGTGGCTCCAATCTAAGAAGGATGGGGAGGCAGCCAACTTACAAAGACATGCTTTCATTTTCTAACATGAAACATAAATGATTCATTTTCTAATGAATATACAATTAAGGCCATCAGATCTTATTAGATTTTTTCATGCTTTTACCATAAGATTTGAATTATGATAGTGACCAACATTGACTATGTGTGACAAATTTTTCAGCAAATATACTATGTTATGGTCTTCAAAGGAAATTAACATAAGTTAATTAACTTAATAAAAATTGGTCACCCTCCCCCCTTCCCTTTTTGTGCTTAAAAACCAAACAAACAGAAGTTTAGGAACATACTCTAACTAATAAAGCAAAAGTAATAAATTTGTCTGGTTAACTTAACTGAAAATTATGCTGTTACTAAATGGGCATAAATCTGGGATCTTCTATCATGGTAGATAAATATACAGAGGCATATATCTGGAATCTTCTATCATGGTAGATAAATGTGTAGAATTTTTGTACCCATCAAAAATGTTTAATTTTGCTGAACTAAAGAAATTTATATAGAGAGACTTATAATGAAGAAATTTATATAAAGATCACAATCTTATAAATTTATTTTATAATTAAATATGCCATATTTAACATAATTTATAATTAAATATGCCATATTTAACATAAAATATGCTATTTTATGTTAAATATGGCTTATGACTAGAAACACAATTGATGCAATATTTAATAAAAAAATGGTTATTTATAGATAATTATGAAAATGATGTCGTACTTGTTCTCATTGAAACATTTAATAGACATCTTTGGTATTAACCAAAAAAAAAATCTATCCTTATTATTTTCTGACAAGGTATCCAATCTTGGTAAAGTTAAAATTGATATAATAATTTGTAAAACTATAAGAAAAAAATTAACATGGAACATGATATAGACTCTCCAAAATTTATTTTTCTAAAACCGAGTACTTGTTTGACTGATTTGGTTGGATCAAATCAAGCAAGATTCTAGGTTTATTGGGATATGCAAAGATGGTGGGAAAACTTAAACAAATTTTTAACATTCAACCATATTAAATCATTAAATTCGAAAATCTATTTCTAAAATCTAATGTGCAGTAGAACATCACTGAAAAATATTTCCAAGCAAAAGAAAAAAAAATTATAAAATGGTAGCGGAAGGGAATGGGGTAGAGGGAGATTCAAATATTCAAGTTTGTTAAAAATAAAATTTTAATTGCTTTTAGTAGAAAAACCTACATAATAATCTTTGAAAATCTGAAAATACTCAGAAAAAAAATTTCAAAAAAAAATTTCAAAAAAAAAAATCAAAATTCAGATTAGTTTGGAAAACCTTATATTTAATTAAATGAAATCCTACATACTAACAAAACTAGTATTAAAAAACAAGCTTTGATCACCAAAAAATGCATTTATTCACCTGATTGTCTCTAAACATTTTGACATACGTAGTTTTTACTATTTTTCTTCTTAATTAACATTTTATGGATGTTACCATTTACTTATTAACTTTTTATATATGTAATTGTTTATGAAATTTGAACATAAATTTTCAAAAATACTGAACTAATTGGAATTCTTGTTTTTAGTTAATAAAATATCCCCTGCTTTGGGGCTCTTAGCTAAATAGTAACAAGAGATTGTGTCTCAATAAAAACACTTGGGTAGGTGTTAACTGCATCTGCTTAAAACCTTTTAGAAGGCCTCCTAGTCAAAAACTTATAGTTATATAAGAGATAAGCATAAAATTTATGTTGACCAGCCACGCACCTCCTCTTCATCTACTAGGCTGACAGATGTAAACATGTGTTACATTATTTCCTGCCTATGATGATGAATGCTGGATCTTTTTGATTCTACTCAAGGGTTTTTGGTGGTGCCTCCTTTTAATGGCTATGCAACTCTTTCTCTTATCTTTTAATGAGGGTGCAGCTCCAAAACTTAGGTTAATAGTTCATTGGGCAGCTAGTAGTAAAGTTTCCCAAACTCTATGGCAGCTGTATCAAAGTGTTAACAGTACTATATATAGCATGGATAATCCCCTTGTTAATGCTTTTAATGTGTACTGTTGAGCCCATATAAGGAGCCCTTTTTTATGACATTGGGTTGATTGTGGAACTAAGGCAACCACATTGCCTCAAAAGCTTATTGTTAGGGGTGTCATGCACTCTGTTGTTAGGGGTGTCATGCATTATGTTCAAGTCAAGTTCTTTATTAAACAGAAAACATGACTATAGTACCTTAAAACATAAAAAACCAGCACCACCACATTAACAATTGTCAACACCTAATTGTTTCATAAAAAAACATTGTCACCACCTAATTGTTTTAATCTATCTTCTACAAATATTACAAAGTTCTTTGAAGTAACTTTTTATCTGTTGAATCTGACCTCTTGCAAAATTCAACAAACCTATTAATTAACCAGACTTACTTGCACTCTGTGAGACTAACTTGAATTCAGGTGTTTCATCTTTATATCTCAGTGTATCTCAGTGTTGATGATTTTTATCTTTTAACTCATAAAAACTCTAATAGCCACATGCTTGTCCTGGGGATACATTTAAGTATCAATTCACATATTAGTCACAAAATCAGGTTTGAATTGTCTGACTATTTATGTGCTTTTGCTTAGCACCTCTTCATTCAATCACCTGTTTTCACCTCTTCATTCAGTCACCTGTTTTCACCTCTTCATTCATCACCTGTTTTCACCTCTTCATTCAATCACCTGTTTTCACCTCTTCATTCAATCACCTGTTTTCACCTCTTCATTCAATCACCTGTTTTCACCTCTTCATTCAATCACCTGTTTTCACCTCTTCATTCAATCACCTGTTTTCACCTCTTCATTCAATTGCCTGTTTTCACCTCTTCATTCAATCGCCTGTTTTCACCTCTTCATTCAGTCGCCTGTTTTCACCTCTTCATTCAGTCACCTGTTTTCACCTCTTCATTCAGTCACCTGTTTTCACCTCTTCATTCAGTCACCTGTTTTCACCTCTTCATTCAGTCACCTGTTTTCACCTCTTCATTCAGTCACCTGTTTTCACCTCTTCATTCAGTCACCTGTTTTCACCTCTTCATTCAGTCACCTGTTTTCACCTCTTCATTCAGTCACCTGTTTTCACCTCTTCATTCAGTCACCTGTTCTTTATAGTTCTTCTTCTCAAGACTGAACTATTTTAGCTGTAATTTCTGATCAAATTGACCATACCCTCTTTACCCCTCTGCCAATATTGTTGTTATTGGTGATTTTAATGCTCATCACACTGAATGGCTTGGCTCTAACACCACTGATCCTGCTGGCAAAAAAGCCTATAACTTCTGCATATCTCAATCTCTTACTCAGAAGTCAAAATTTGCAACTTCTTTTCCAGACAATCTTAACCACTTACCTTTACTCCTAGTTTTGTGTTTTTTTTTTTTTTTAAATAAGAATTTAATTCACTCCAAAAAAGGTTTCACCACTAATAAGTTAAGAGTTAATAAAAAATAAAGAATAAGTTAAGAATAAGCGATTAACAGAAGACATAAAAAGAATTAAAAATTTACAAGTCACTGCAAGCCCCAAACTTGCAAAAGTGAGATCAGATTCAAGATTGGAAATGAAAAAGAGTGTTGGCCTTCCAGGATGACTTTAATAGTGGTTAGAAAGAAATGACTTGATAATCTCAAAAACTTTCCCAGATACACCAAGACCATGCTGGTCTTCTCCATAAAGCAAGCTTATGGAGAAGACCAGCATGTCAGACTTAATCAAAATCTTGTCTAGTTTCAAACCTTAGGTTTTGTTTAGTTTTTCTTGTTTTTCTTTGGATGGTTTGGATCATGTTATGTTCTCACTAAAAATATCCTCACTAATCTAATACCTCATCTCCAGACTCCAGACCTATAACTACATATCTCACTAATACCTAAAAGTTGGCTGGGATTCTATTCATAATTTCCTTCATGATGATTCTTAGACTGATGGCTTTTGATTTACCACAGATAACTTTATTTCTTCTCATTAGTTTCAAATCAAGCCTCACTGTAACTCCATGGTTTTAAATCCTCACTCTAACCCCATAGTTTTCACAAGATCAACTCTCATGTAAAAAAAACATTAGACATTAGTTCCATTATTTCCAGATTACTAAATCTCATATTTTATCTTAGAATTTAGTTCTAGAGACTTGTAAAATCTTTAACATTGTCAAAACAAAAGAAAATCTAATATTCCTAACCTAAATCCATGGGTCTGATTTTATTACCTCTCCTAAGGATATATAAGGATAAGGTAGAATGTTTTGCAAATAACTCTTCCTCTAATTTATCTCTTGAATCTAATGACCATTCAACTCCTGTCGTCTCATATTAATCAATTGTTTAACACTTAAATTATCCTGAATTTTATTTGCCTGTTTGAAAATGCCATCTGAGTTACCAATCATTAAAAACTCTGAAAAACACTTTGATCACTTTAAACAAACCTTCCCAGGAAGTGTGTGCGGTGGCACGCCTTGTTTGTCCACGCTTGAAGTAATTTTTTTAGACACACTGACCACGGCAGTTCGCATCTTTTAACTTTTAAAGTGTTTCAATAATTCACAGCAAAAAGTCATCTACACAGAAGAAAAAAAAAAAAAAAAGAAAAAAAAGAAAAAGCAAACAAAAACATAACAAAAAAATAAATATAAAGATTTTTTAAATAAACTAGAAAAATTTAATAATAAAAAAGAGAAAATTAAAAAATAAAAATTTTGTTAATTTTTTTTAGAGTGGTTGAAGAAAACATCTTTTATAACAATTTAACAAAAATTGAAAGTTTTGATATGCAATTTATTCACGATTTTTATTAGTCGTATTTTTTGTCTTTTCACTTCTAAAAATGTTTATGCTATATTTGACGTTTTTTCTCAAAACTTAAATAAGAAAATAAATTGCTATTTATTAGTAAAATATATTATTTGATTAATAAATTTTGCAATGACGGAAGAAATTAAATAATAGAATAAAATGCTTTCTTTTATAGATGTATTTACCACATTTGATGTCTGTCTAAAACTGTTTCTTTCCTATTGCCCAATTTCCAACGTTAATATGAATTATTAGTGATAATGAATTAACATAACAACATAAAAACATAATTGTTCTGTTTGAAAAAATGTATTTAAAAACTTAAAAAAAAGTTTTAAATGGCTTCTTAAAAATTTCTTTAAAAAAGTTCAGTAAATTAACAATTCACTAGCCCACAAGCTTTTGGGGCATCGTCAATAACAATAGTTCATCAGAAAATAAACTATAAGGTAATCCAACAAAAGTACAGATTATTTAAATGGGGGTAGAGAAAACAACCAAATATTTTATATTTGAACATTAGTATTAATGACTTTTTATATTTTTACATGAAAAACTTGTTAAAAATAAAAAAATAAAAACTTTACAAATAAATAATAATTAGTTTTCAGGCTCTCCTGTGCATTGATAAAAACAGTAAAGATTGGCAAAAACATTTGAAAAACAAATTTTAAAATTGTCCATGTTTCTAGCGCAAAATATAAAGAATTTCCTTAATACTTTCTTAGTCAGTACTGAAAAAAGTTGCGAAAAAATTTTATATAAAAAATTTAACTATTTTTTTTATACTCTTATCTGCTTTTTTCCTCCTCGACTTGTATCAATTTTGGTAGTGGAAAATAACAAACCCCCTAAAAAAAGAAAATAATTGCAGTAAAATATTTAGGTATATTACTTTTTTTTTACAAAATTTTCTTTTTTTAATTTTCGATTCTTTTTAGTTTATTTTATTTAAATTTTCAATTTTGCATAGTATTCGTTTCCTTTCTTTGACTATTGCTGATTTATTCTTTGTAGTTTCTAATAGTCTTATTTTGCAGCAAATTCTTAAAACACTAATTATATAAAAACGCAGTCAAGTTGTCTAAAAAATTACCCTAAACGTGGACAAACGTGGACAAATGTGTGCGACTGCACACGCATTTTGGGAAGGCTTGTTAAAAATTGTCCAATTATTCTTCTCTCTATTATAAACAAGGTCTTTGAATCTATAATTAACAAAATTCTAATATCTTTGCTTGAGCTAACAACTTGAAAATCTCTCTTTGACAATCAATATGGTTTTTAATCAACTCGTTTTAAAGCTGAGCTCCTTAGATAAAGGCAGAAAGGCAAGGGCTATTGCTTTTGGCATATCAAAATTATTTGATAAAACCTGACATGCCGGATATCTACATAAGCTTTCTTTATATGGTTCATTTAACTTTAATAAATATATTACTCACTAATCTCTTATGCTTTGGCGACCCTTGACTGGATGATGGTGATACTTGTGCACTAAATAATAAAAGATTTTATTAAGTAAATTTTATATAAACATATTTTACCTAAATATAAAAAGCACAAACAACAGCAGATGTCTTAAAATAATAAATATAAAAAAGTATTGTGATTTGTACTTATATGGACTAATAGAATATATAGGTTGAGTCTAAGTGAATTTATTCATATACTGTGGCATTAAACAAAACTTTACATTTTACAAAAGTAAACAACAGTATACTTTATGAACATTATATATACACTATTGATGATATACACTTAATACATATATCAATATTATTAAATATATATATATATATATATATATATATATATATATATATATATATATATATATATATTCATTTTGATTATTTAGCCTTCTACTCCGATTTTAATAAAAGTGATTATTTTGACAAAAAAAAGGCATTGTTAAAAATAGATGAAATTAAATATAAGAAAAGTAGAAAAGTAGAAATCTTTTTCTGCTTAATTTATACATTATAATTATAGGTATTTATAAGTAAAAAAAAAATTAAGCATTATATCAGGCATGGACGGGAAGCGGGTGCGATCGCACTCGATAACTGACCACGGATATAATATTTAGTTGCGAAAAACCGGCCATATTTTTTAGTTGTTTTGAGAACATTTAAATTTATGTAGGTTTCCTTGTTTGTCCGCAAAATAATAAGTTCATTTTATCGTAAATTTCAAAATATTTTGTTTTACGGACACACATGGAAACATACATAAACTTGAATGTTCTCAAACATCTTAGTGCGGAAAATACTATCAAACGAACTATTATTTTAATTCTTGGAGCCACATCTACAAAGCTATAAATGTTTTAAACTAACATTATTTGGTTACAATAATAAATGTTTTAAATTTATATTTTTTAACTTGTCAACATTTTGTAAATATATTATAGATTTTATTAGTATATTCTTATTTTTTATATATATGGGATGTATTTTTTATCTATGTAATGTATTTTTATGTATGTAATGTATTTTTATTTATGTAATTTTATGTATGTGTATTTTATTCAAATACAATCTTTTAAAGCAATTTGTGCGATTGATTTTGTAAACTAAAATACTTTCAAAAAATAACTGCGTTTTCAATAGGGTTGTTAACCGGAGGATTTCGTGCAATTCCAGAAAAACAACATTCTTTCGTAAGGAGATTGAGAACACGGAATTACATTTTTTCGTACCGAATGTTACAAAACATTTAAAATCGCCGATGTTCATTTCGCAAAAGCCACTTGACATACGAGCCAAGTTGACATACGAAACAAAACTATTTTGCAACATACGAAAGTAGCGGTTTCGGAAGTCGCACTTGCGAAACAAACATTTTCGCCAAACGACGTTTTGAAGTCTATAAAGAAAATTTGTTTGCCAGACTGATTTTAATTGTAAAAATTAACATCTTTAAATCCCAAAATGTTTATAATGAATTTTTATTTTCAGTACAATAACTATTAAATTTTTATGGTTTTATTTTGAGAAATATTGATAAAAAATAAAATTTCTTTCGAAACGAAAGTTTTTCGGATCACAACATACGAAAGAATTCTTAACGGAAATAAACTTACGAAACGTGCCATAATAAATATATACAACGATGTTTTTTGAACTCATTACGTATATTAAAAATAAGAATGATGGGTAGGAATATACATGTTTTTTTTTAAAGCATATGAAATTTTTGAAACAGGTTCGAATATGCTTAAGCAAATAGTAAAAAGAGGCTCAAAAATATGCTTTAGCTTAAGCATATTTCTGATAAAATATACCTATTTCTATAATTTCTAAAAGTGTGCACCTTACTAAAGTTCTAGCAGATTTTAAAGGTATGTAGAGTCCTGTTTGAATACGCTTTTCGAAGTATAGATCTTAGAAAATATTGTTTTTTAATTTTAATAAGATATAAATTTGAGTATAAGATTGTATAGTTCAATCAGTTAGATACGTGATAATTCGCCGCAGAGATCCGGGTTCGCATCCCGCAGCCATTGTAACCTTTGTTCATCAAACTCTTTTTACTTAAGATAGCATTTTTTGACCTCCATGTTCTATATTACAGATCTTTCGTCACCTTCACAATAGTGACAACCTCTCTTCTGATAGTTATTCTTTTAAGATTGAGTTCATTGTGCCTAATTCAACACGTTTCCCTTGCTTTACTAAGTTCTACTTAAATTATGATGAAATGTACGTAAAACAACTTTTTCAAATAATATAAATCATTTTGCTTAAATCTTTTGCTTTTTGTACTAGACATCTGTCCTAAATACTTTGTAATAATTTCTAGCTAACTCTGAGTCTAATATAACCATTTCTGAATATAATTTCCCTGAGGCTCCTACAGCCTATTGTGTTCCATTAAAAGTAACTAGTTTTTGAGTCCAGATGTTAATTATAAGCATCTAAAGGTTCACATTACTATTCATTTTCCTGATATATAGAATCCTATTTGCATACGCATCTCTTTCTGTAAATTCTGTTTTATATAGTTTTTTTATTTATATATTAAAGAAATATTACTATTCACTTAATTGAATGAACGTATAGCTCATTCAGTTAAGACATTTGGCCGCGTAGACCCAGGTTCACATCCCGCTGTTTCACATATATTTCTTCTCTTTTTACTCTTTCTGATATCATTTACCTTTTGAGAGATATCTCGTTCTTTATAATAAAGTATTTAATTGTTTATCACACATCTTCTTTATACTTTTTAAAAAGAAAGGCATACTGCTTATCTGTTCATTGAGAGTCCAACTTAACGGAATTTTACTTTATATATATGTGTGTGTGTATATATATATATATATATATATATATATATATATATATATATATATATATATATATATATATACACATATATATACAGTAAAATCCCGTTAAGTAAAATCCCGTTAATGTATATATATATATATATATATATATATATATATATATATATATATATATATATATATATATATATATATATATATTAGGTATATTTGTATAAACATTTGAAGAATCATTTGACAACATTTTTTTATAATTTTATTATTTATTATTTAAACTGTTAACAGTTAATATCTTAAATATATCGTAACATAAAATCTTTTGCGTCTTTTTTGTAACTACACATTCCGGAATGCTTTTTCCGTAAGGAACTATTTCGTAAGTATTCTTACGAAATGATTTGTTTTGCAAGTTTTCTTTCGCAATGCTTTATTACGGAATTTTATTTATTTATATTTTCGTATAGCGCGTTAGGGAATGTGCATTTTTGCATGTGCAACTTCCGCAATAACAATTCTATTACGGTAGATAAAGATGCGAAATTTTCGCAAGTTTTGTTTTTCGGCGAACAACCCTAGTTTTCAATGAAATTATTAATAATCCATTTTCCTCAGTGTAGCCGATAACTGATTCTTTCTCCCAAGAAAGAAAAGTTATTAATTTCTTAGAAATTAGTTTACTAACTTCAATTATTTTTGCTTCAGCCATTATTACAAACTTGTTATACTTAAAGTTACTTTTTCTGTTTTAAATACTAATTAAAATTATAAAGCCTACTCACTAAACATCACCAGCGGTATTTGAAGCAGTTCCGCTTCCTCCTCACAAAGTAATTTAACGTTATTTGTTAATTTCTATTTAGCTAATTGAATTTCTACAGTAACTCAATGATATAATTATTTCATTTGTTTATTTTACTAAGAAGAATTGTTTCAAATGTGTTGAACTTTTTAAACTACGCGAAGCATAAAACAGTTATTGAAAAAACGTTTTTATTTATAAATAAATCATCTGGTTGAATCTTGTTGGGCTTTTCAGGGCAGGAGGCTGCAATAATTTGGTGACGTTATTTATGTGCCACAGCGTAAAAATGACTAAAAAAAATACCTAATGGTCCTCTTGATTATTTCCCCTAACATTGTGATTCCCGAGGCTATAGCCCTACTACCCCCACCCCACCTCCTCAATCCAGCACTGGAAATAAGATATAAGTATATAAATAAAAATTATATATACTCTTTGATAAATCGAAGAACATTTTTTTCTTTATAGTTGTTACTTTATATAATAAATGTCGCTTAATTTTATAAAAAAAGTTATAAAAGAGCGACGTTTCAAAAATAATTGCTCTAATAAATTTATTTTGCTTAAATTTTTTTCGCGTTAAAAGCTATTTTTCTTTTTTTAACTGGATCTCATCAGTCCAGTTAATCTTAATGCGCTTTTTTGTTTGTTTTCGAAATTTTTTGAAATGTTCTCAAAACGACTAAAAAGAACTGGCTGGTTTTTTGCAACTAAATAATATTTCCGTGGTCAATTATCGAGTGCAATCGCACCCGCTTCCCGAACAAGCTTGCATTATATATGAAAATAATTCATCTTGTTTTGAGAAATAAATTGCAACATGGGATACTAATTTTTAAAACAAGAAACATACTTCTTGCTTTGAGAAAAATATTTTGTAGTAAGAAATTCAAGATAATATAGAACATGTAATGAGCTTGCAGAAGCTTTAGAAGCTACTCCAAGTAAAGATTTCTTGTAATAAACCATTAAAAAAAAAGAGTGGTTACAAGGAGCTAACTAAGACAACTGCTCTATTGATAATCAGTCAATAACTCAAAACACTTTGAATGGTTCTAATAACCTGAATTTTAATCCAATACCTAACTGTAAACTGTAAACTTTAAAAATATATTTTAAAATTACTTTGCTACATATTTCCTTTAGATATTTGTGTGTGTGTCTATATATATATATATATATATATATATATATATATATATATATATATATATATATATATATATATATATATATATATATATATATATATATATA